GTGGTAAGGAATGATGGATCCATGTTCTCACTCTGTTTACGCCAAATTCAGACTCTACCATCTGAATGTCTCAACAGAAATCGAGACTCATCAGACCAGGCAACATTTTTCCAGTCTTCAACTGTCCAATTTTGGTGAGCTCTTGCAAACTGTAGCATCTCTTTCCTATTTGTAGTGGAGATGAGTGGTACCCGGTGGGGTCTTCTGCTGTTGTAGCCCATCCATCTCAAGTCTGTGCATGTTGTGGCTTCACAAATGCTTTGCTGCATACCTCGGTTGTAACAAGTGGTTATTTTAGTCAAAGTTGCTCTTCTATCAGCTTGAATCAGTTGGCCCATTCTCCTCTGACCTCTAGCATCAACAAGGCATTTTTACCCACAGGACTGCCGCATATTAGATGTTTTTCCCTTTTTACACCATTCTTTGTAAACCCTAGAAATGGTTGTGCGTGAAAATCCCAGTAACTGAGATTGTGAAATACTCAGGCCGGCCCATCTGGCACCAACAACCATGCCACGCTCAAAATTGCTTAAATCACCTTTCTTTCCCCTTCTGACATTCAGTTTGGAGTTCAGGAGATTGTCTTGACCAGGACCACACCCCTAAATGCATTGAAGCAACTGCCATGTGATTGGTTAATTAGATAATTGCATTAATGAGAAATTGAACAGGTGTTCCTAGTAATCCTTTAGGTGAGTGTATTTACCTGAAAAGTCGACATGGCAACTTTACAGTAATTTAGCGAGTTTTATGTGGAAAAACGGCTTTTGTTTGATAAAGCTATAAGCCATTAATTTTACCACAGGTAAAGGCTCATCACAGGCACACGATCAAAAAATCAAGCACAGCGTCAGTTCTGGTAGGTCACGTTAGTAAAGCTCGCATCAGTTGACTCTCAGTTGATCCATGTCTACCAATAGGAAAACAACATCTATCAATATATACATATATAAGCTCCTTCAGTATTATCAGCAGCTATCTCATTTCTCAGGAGCTGATTACCCTCCTCCATCCCCAGCTCCTTCTCTCCTCAGTCAGGATTTGGCATTCTGATTCCCCTTGAATCAGAATAAATTCTCGATTTATGTTGTACTTCAGGGGGGGGTTATCGCTTCTCTCTCTGCTCTTATCTATGCTAGGCTGCATGGATGCGAAGGGAGTTTTCGCCCAGAACGGAACCACACCGCCAGTCCAAACTGTAAGCTAATTGTCAATCGTATTTGACGATAGTGGTCCTGACAGAAATTTGAATTTATAAAAATGTATGATCTTAATTAAATTGATGTAAACTCTTCAGCCAAAGCAAAGGGATAGTTCACTGATAAATCGAAACGCCATAATTTACTCTAATTTGCCCTCAAGCCATTCTAGGTCTATTCTAACCAAAGGTTACACTATGCCTACGCCATATGATTCTCAACTCTTCTGTGAACGTGTGTATGGCCATAGAATCCAGTGATTATGGTTTATAAAGTTTTAAATATGGATATTTTTCTTCGAAAACCCCATTGCTTTGCTTAAGAAGGCATTTATTAACCAACTAGTGTCATATGGATTACTTTTATGATGGATGGACGTGCTTTTTGGGGCTTCAAAATCTCTGGCTCTGTTCAATGTCATATACGAAGAGCCAGGATATTTATACATTGTCATATTGTCAAGATTGCACTACGTAACCTGAGATGAATCGAGCATCAAATAAAACAAAACTTTGAACAAAAATAACTAAGCAGTCATCGGATGCCATGTTTGTTACATATAGTATACAGGAGTAAAGTTGTATATGTAGTAAGTGATTAAAAAAAAGGCAGTGAGTTAAGTCATTATGGGAAATACACTGTGTTGATCTGGATACTGCTGGTTATGGCCAATCCAAATGGATTAAGTAAACTTCACTTTCGTAATTTTGAATTGATTGCATGCAATACAATTACAGTGTGAAACAATGTTAAAGGATTGTGTTGCATTAGCTAATTTTATTGAAATAATTTGCATTTACTTGTTATGTTTCAAATGCCTATAAATGATCTCAGATGAAATAGACATGCTCCATGTGTACCGATTTACAATATGTTTCATTGTTTTAGGTAAAATGTTCAGGCCAGAGGCAAAAACCTTCTCTGTTGTATCTAATTGGTTCTTGTGGAAAAATCCTACCAAATAGAACATCTGCAGAAGATTTAAAACAAAGCAACAACAATTCTGGATGCACTTGAATGGGATCAGAAGCCTCTTTGTCTGAACATCCTAATGCTGGACTGATGTAAATGTATCTCAGCTACAGAAATGAGAGGAACCACCTTTTCCTCTAGTTTTTGTTTCTTTCTTCTCTTCATGGAAAGCAGATTTTAGCAATCATCACCGAAGACTGAAGCTTTATACGACATCTGGAGTCCTGACGTGCTTTTGCAATGTTATGTAGTCGCTAATCATTAACTTCAGAGAAGGATCAACAGAAACTCTTAAAATGATGGTTGTTATTCACTGATAATCTTGCCCTCAAGTGAGCTGTTAACAGCTACGACCAGATCATTGAGTCAGCTAGTTGAACTCGAGTCCCAGATCAGCCCAATTTCTGAATGAATCATTCAGACCTACATCGACTGGTTCATTAAAGGAATACTCCACTTTTTTTGGAAATAGGCTCATTTTACCACTCCCTCAGAGTTAAACAGATGAGTTTTACCGTTTTTGAATCAATTCAGTCGATTTTCTGATATTTAGAAGAATATCAGTAACCAGACAGTTTCTGGTCTCATTGACTTCCATAGTATATTTTTTTCCTACTATGGAAGTCAGTGAGACCAGAAACTGTCTGGTTACTGATATTCTTCTAAATATAAAAAAATCGGCTGAATACATTCGAAAACGGTAAGACAGAACTGTTTAATTCTGGGGGAGTGGTAAAATGAGCCAATTTCCCAAAAAAGTGGAGTATCCCTTTTAAAAGACTCAAAATATTTCTATTATGAATTATTACGCTCCAAGGACAGAGTTCGGTTATTTACAACCGAATTCCAGAAAACAAAAGAGCTGCATGGACACACAAATCAGATCTGAATAGTTATCAATACGTTTAGATCAGATTCCAATCCGATACACAAATAATTGGATTTGTACTGACAGTGTGAATGTAGCCTATGTGTGTAAATCATATTTGGTGTTTGTTTGTAATACACACGACTTTTGTGTGAGCTGCAAAAGTTAGGACTGTTAGGACTGTCTAGATCTGAGGAGTTGAAAGTTCTCAGCATCAAAGCAGGTGATTTTGGGTGACTTGCCAGCCCTATACCCACAGTATGAGAAGCTTGTGGAGTTTGTTACTCGTGCTGTGGCGAGGCTAAATATCAATAGGCCGGACGAGAATTTGGAAGTGCAAGGAAAAAGTAAACTCGATGAGCCCTTCCTGCAGTCAAAAGCACATCCTCCACAATGGTCCTTACCATTCTTTCCGGATTTCCACATTGTGGTGTTGAGATCCTGGAAAAATCTGTTCTCTTTTCGACTATCGAGTCCCACGTTGCATAATAACACTTCTATTGTGTGGCTCAAAGAAAACGGCTATGGGATGATTCCCAGAGTAGACAAGCAGCTTATCTCTCCTCTGACACTGCATAATCCCTTAAAGCCAAAACGATCCAAAACAATGATAAAATTCGCATTTAGTAGATATAAGCATTCAAAACTTACAGTCTCTGACTTCCGCTAAAATGGATCATGGATTTTTATGACGTCACCACAGGATACTGTTTATTTCAAGCCGAAAGTGAGTAACTTTACAAAACTGGAACAGCCCTGACTCTGTTTTCATTCAGTTCGATTTGGTGAACTGATTCGACCGGTTCAAAAGAACGATTAGGTAATGAAGTGGACATCACTATCGTTGTCACGTCACAGAGCAATATGGGTTGGAGATGTGTTTTCGGTTCCTCAAATGCTCAAGGTTTTATTCAATTTTCAGAATGAAATAGCCAGAATTTATTCACACTTCTAACGTTACCATTGAATCCAACGAATCAGCGTTCAGATTCGTTTCCATGCTGCTGTCAACTACGACTCGCAGTCTGTGAGGTAACGTAAATGCTATTGGCTATTTGAAAAGGAGGAGGAGCCTTTCAACATGTCCCGCCTTAGCTTCCTGTTTCAGTGGAAATTACGTCAACGCATCATACAAAGCTGCACGTTTCAAGACACTTCAGTGGGCCTTTAAATGTGATTTTTAATGTCATAACCAAAAAAATATTAAATATTTAAGTTTTTCTTTATAAATAATTGTTTTTTATGTTACTTTTGCTAATTTTATCTGCATCTCAACTCAAGCTCAGTGCTTTACTATCAAATGTGTTTGACAATTTCATGAAGGACCACAATGGAAACAATTCTTGTGTTTTTATCCTTTTGAACACTTCATGTTGATTATTGTTGTTCAATAAAGTTCTCAATCAATCAATTACTCAATCAATCAATCAATCAACGTGCATTTCCAAGAAATAAAAGTAATATTGTTAGTTACTGCACTTATTAATGTAAAACAATAGTAATTTTCGTCTCTCAACAATGGGTGGTAGATTATTCAGTGCTGTGGCTCCGAAACTCTTCACGACACTTCTAGTATATCCTCACTCAAATCTCAACTAAAAATCTTTTCTTACAGTATTTCCAAACCTCCTCTGTTTTGTTACTGTATATTTATATTTGATGCATACTAATTATTGATGCTGTGTTTTGTTATCTTCTTGTACAGTGACCTTGAGCTTAGGAAAGTCATTTTATAACTAAAACTTTTTATTATTTTAATTCATTTTATGACTAAATTACCTTTATGATTAAAAATCTACCCACCCCCCAAGCGCTGCCAAATAAAATCTGTAAAATTTGTGCTACTGCTCTCAAATGTTAGTCCGGAGCCCTGTGTTTTGCCAGAGGTTAGAGTGACTCATTTATTGTGTACATATACTGTATGTTTGTACATTAGCCAAAAAGAAGCAAATCTTATTTACCTGTGGCTTTTTCTGGGTTACTGCACATGAAACAGAGCCAGCCACCTTCCTCTTCACTGTAGCTGAAAAGGTCAAAGAAACGAACCTCCTCCAGATACACCAGCAAACTGTCCACATCCTGAGAGAGATGGAGAGACGAAATTTAGCAGATGGTGCTATTCAAAAGACAACACACAGGGAAAGAGTTAAAAGTTAAAATGCAGAGCTAAAATGCATTGCAACAAGGTTGGTAGAATAAATTATCCAAGATAATAATGTTGCATAATGCAACATGATGAACATGAATGATGCATAATGTTGAGTCTAAAAAATGCTGATTATAATATTTTTCTCAATAGTTGTATGTCCTATCCACTCGTTAAAACTGACGTCACTGTTTCAGGGTCAAAACGTCAGCAATTCATTTTTAATCGTTTATATATTGGTTTTGTATTGGACTCAGTGATTCCAGAGACTATATATAGAGCGAATGCACTGATGTCACTTTCCCGCCAGAACAATTAACCCCCTCAGGCTGACTGAGTGGCAATAGATCTGCTGCGTGACTGGATTTAATAGGGGAAACTGCAAAAATGCGACTAAAATTAACAATTTTATCAATTTAAAGTAAATGTTGGACTCAATATAGTGTTGCTTGCAATTTCCTAAAGATCCAGTGATCCATGGACATTGACATGCAGCCAGGAATCGTGTTGCCTGACATTTATGTTTGCCTGATTTCGACCCCGGGGACATAAAAGGTTTGCTCGCTTCAGGTTGAGCTTTCAGTAACTGCGCAACTGGCGTATAGGTTGCCAGATTGAGATGACAAACGGGCTGAAATTGTATATGGTGTGTGGATTGTGTGAATATAATACATTTAATACAAGATCTGGCAACTGGTCAACATTAGACAAACATATTGGTCCGATTATTCATAAAAGAGTTTGGGGCCATGCAAATTACGGGAGTTTCCCGGGAGAAATAACAAACCGGGAGATAGAGCTAAAAAATGGGAGAAACCCGGGAAAAACGGGAGTGTTGACAGGTATGCTTGAGACATGAACGCTCTCTCTGTTATAACTTCAGATTATAAAATGACAAAATAAAGAAAGACAGCTGGACCTAATCTATTTTCTAATCAAAATAATTTGAGGTAATCTCTGCCTATTTGTCACTGAATGTACAATTTTGCTGAGATAGCTTTAGAGGGCAAAACTTTGCTGAAAAGCTAGCAAAACGGCTAACATTGTTGACAGAAGAGCTTCCTTGTGAATGTATACAATGAACAGCGAGGCAGCTTGCTAGGTTTAACCAACCCGGTCTCATCCCAAGACGTCATATAACTGACGTTTTGGGACGTCTTTTGATCATACGTCAATATTCGCCTTTTTAGGGCCCCCTTAAACGTCGGTAGATGAGGTTATGGGATCCTAACTCTACCCCAGACCTAAACCTAACCCTAAACCTAACCCGTCACCTAACTGACGTTAAAGGTAAAGCGTCAGTTGTATGACGGCCCGGGATCGCCATCTACCGACGTTTAAGGGGCCCCTAAAAAGGCGGATATTGACGTATGGTCAAAATACGCCCCAAGACGTCAGTTATATGACTTTTTGGGATAGTTTAACAGGGTTAAGATGTACATTTATTTCAATGTGAAGATTTGCATTGTGCAGTATTTCTTGACACCAGGGAAGCAGTAAACTACAAGTTAGCTTTCTTAGTCGTGAGACGCTGTGGTTAGCCACTCCTGGCTACCAGTTCTCAAGATTAATAGGAGTGTCCATAAGAGTCTCAATAGTCTTAAAAAACCAGGACAGCCCTTCACATTGATCCAGTTATCCTAGAATTTGTCTATAAAGTCTTTATGGAAAGCCGTCAATGGACTGAAACAGCAGCGTAATGACAATATACATTACGTATCAGAGAGTCAACAGCACAGCTGGACACCAATGAACAATGAGAGCTGGCATCTACATGTGCTTATTGGCTAGAAATTCCAATGGATGTGAGGGTGTGTGGCGTTTAGAAAGAGGGATCTGCCAAAATGAAGACAACCAGTGATATTAGAAAATTATTTGTTTTTACAGATATCAAAGCCAGTGAAGTGACTATTATACTGAGCTGAGTTATTCTGGAAAACGACGATTGCAAACATCACACAGAAGAGTTGGGAGGAAAACAAGGATTTTTCGGAAGTCCTTTCCAAGAAATTACAATCACTGGTTTGTGCATTGGCTCCACCTTTAAAAGGTTAGTTCAACCCTAAATTGAAATTCTGTCATCAACTACTCACCCCTATGTCGTTCCAGTCCCTTAAGACTTTCAATCATGATCAAAACACAAATGAAGATGAAGATCTTTTAATGAAACCTGAGAGATTTCTGTCCCTCCACTGAAAGTTCATTCCAGCAAAACTTGCATATTTTTTTATAAAGACATAATACATTTGAGTCAAGTAGTCTAATCCTGTTTGTTCAGGTGCATCAAGCAAGAAAAGTTGAACTGCCACTGAACATATTTGATGAGTTTGATAGATGTTCAATGTTCATATAGTCGCAATTTCAGTGTCAGGCCAAACCGTTCTTGTTGCTAAACCTTTCCATTCCATGTTAATCTGGCCCAGCCAGTAAGGATATGGTTTCATTTTCCACAGTGGGGCTGATAACATAACGTTTTGGAATGTAATCCAGAGTTTACAGTTTATGAGATGTGTGACCGCATTATGGAGAATGATCAGATATTTCTATTATTAAATTGTGCATTTGGCCAGCCTCAGAGACTGGTAGACAGGCAACAGACAAGTGACCAATCCTGAAGATCACTACACAAGATATCCAGACGGAAACACTTTGGACGGAGAACAAGTGGAAATATAACTTAAAATGATCCTTACTGTTCTTAGAACCAAATAATTACATTTGTTTATTATTGACCGTGTCTCTTCAGAAAACTTCATATGGATTCACTTTTCAATGTCGCTTTGAATTTTTTGTAGAGTAAATGTTTTTTGGTGGATTGGACTTGGTTTTTCCAACCAACCAAAAAAGAAGGGGGAAGAAATTCATAGGTTGCCCACGAATTAAAAATGTCTTCATTTGTGTTCCAAAGATGAATGAAAGTCTTAAGAGACTTAAGAGATGCAGCAATTGATGAACTTTTTGAGTGAACTATCTTTTAAAGGAATAGTTAAAAGATAGTTTAAAGATAAAAAAAAGAAAAAATAGTTTAAAGGAACTTGTGTTGATCACTTATTGCCATATAATGGAAGTGAATGAGGACTGATGTCGTCAAGCTTAAAAATGACAAAACAATTAAATTATCATAAGCTGTCCATATGTCTTGTATGCTGTCTTTTGAAGCCATTTTAGCTCTGTGTGAGGAACAGGCTGAAATGTATGGCATTATTAATTGATAATTGTCTCCATTTATTAATTAATCATTCAGAAGAGTTCTGATATGAAGATTTGTTGACCAATGCAGCATTAGTTATTTTTTCATGAACACAAGAAGTTGCCCTGATTTTTAGAGAATAACCATTTAAGTCACACAAAGCTATCCATTAAATTCTTCTGTGAAACATAAAAGAAGATATTATTACCCCCTATAAGAAAATATTGTAGATTTAAGATATTATTACCCCCTATACGAGAATATAGTACATTTTAAAGTTAAATTCATCAATCTGTTGCACTTTGAGAGTTCAATTTAAAGCTCCAACCCATCTTCAGTGTGAAAAAGCCAAACAATTCAAATTTAATATATGACAGAAATAGCCATATATTGTAAAACAAATGCACTGTGAAATAAATGAAATTAAAATTTCATAAGTAGATTACTTTACTTGGAAGAGATAAACTTTATTATGACACAAACTGCAGTTGAGCTTTTATTTTGGTGGAAAACAAACACGTCTCATTACAAATCAAGTGAAACGCTGTATCTATCATCTTCCTACAAAAATGTCGGCCAGAGGTTAGAAAATAACTGTGAAAATAAGGTGGAACTGGTGCCCGATACTGTCAGGATTCAGTGTGTATTCAATCGTACGACGAAGAGGTAGAACAGGAAACAGGATTAAAAAAAAAATTTAGGAGATAAATCAACACTATACATGAAGACAGACAGAGTAAGTCAGAACTCGGGTTATAAGCATGGATGAAACAAATGAATCCAATGAGATGAATAGATGAACACAGGTGAAAAAGAATGATCAATTAACATAGGGAAACTTGGCCAGGGAACAGAACACAAAGCACCATGGGAAACGTAGTCAAAACAAGACACATCTTACAGATATGTTCCCAGATATGACCCTCTAAATGTGAGGGTCCATGCATTCGACTACCTTTGAGATAAATGAGATGGAGTTCACTGCATTCATTCATTTATTTTGGACCTTGTGTGAGTGTTGAGGGGGTGCACTTCCTGCATTACACACAGTTTAAAGCCAAGTCATTCATCAGTCATTCCAGCCTTCTCAGACCTGAGGCTCAGAGAGATGAATGGTAAGGGGTTTCACCATGCTTCAAGGAGCCTGTTTCACATTTCAGTTAACTGGTCAGTCCTTAACAGACAACTAAAGCTTCCATTACAACTACATGACACAAGTTGTTCAGACCCTATAGAAATCTGACACAAGGGTTAGACCAGACTTTAATTTTCACCTTCCCTTTGAGTGACTAGCACAGGCTTGCCATTTTAGAGCATTTCTTTCTCTGAGTTTGGAACAAAGGGAGATGAGAGACCATCAATCACACATCTTATGTTTAAATTTGTCTTCATGCTTTCCTATAGATTGATGCAGGTCATTATCGAACCCCCACAGACAGCCTATCTGGCGAAGAACAGTCGAGTCATCTTACTGGTGCTCTGCCATGACTTATTTCACGCCAACTAAATCAGTGTAAGAATTGAGCAAGAAATGTAATGTGCATTTGATTATTCGTGTCATGAAAACCTTTCAAATAGTGCAAATGTTAAAATTGTATCTGATGTATTTTTTTTACAGACGAGTCGAGTACATAGATCTAAACAAGGACCATGTGTGTGCATGTGCAATAGTTTATATTCGCACATGCTGAGTCCAGTAGGGGATATGTGTGCTGTGGTTTATGTTCCTTATTAAAAAGTAAG